AAATGACATGCACCCTCAAATAGAGGCTGGAAAACATTTACCCATCCGAGCTGTGTGTGTACTTTGGAAAATTGCACCGTGTTGCCGTGAGTTTACACACATCCCGAGGGATCATTTTTCATGCAGTTGCTTTCTCGTGCTTGCAGTCAGTACCTGTGCGTGTAAAAGGGGGTGTGTAGAGAGGTAAGAGAGCACTCTAAACATAGTAATACCTTTAAAACAGATGCTTTCCAAAGCTGGAGGGAATAAACAACATCTAAATCCTCTCCCTGCCCCCGCCCCCCGCTTCCCTAAATTAAGAGGAATGAATACCACCTGTGCTGTTGCAAGCTGGTTTTTGTACTGCATTTGAAACGTTAAGAACAAACTGATCAGTGCTACCTTCTTTCTAGTTGAGAGGAACTCTGTGTCCAGACAACTGCTGGGAAACGTGAGCAGCATTCAGACCACGTGTGTAGGATGTCCAGGCACGGGGAAGCTGGGGATTGGAGTGCGCACTGGCATTGTGTGTGCATGTGTGGTGTACGAGGACATTGGGGATAGTTGATTTCCCTATTACTTCCCTAGTACTCACAGCTACCCCCTACGTACCGCAGGCTCAAAACTGGCTGCTCCCTATTCCTGTACAGCCACGTTCAGACACGTGGAAGCCCCTTCCTTTCCATGCATGATCATGTTCCATCACATACACACATGCTGCCCTCTCTGCTCAGTCACAAACCAGCTCTCTCTGAGCTGCCCTTGTTCATGCAGAGAAGCAGGTAGACTCTGTGATTTTATTTATTTATTATCCTGCTAGAGTAAAAGATACAGCATAACCACGCATGGCGGCTGCTTTTGAAACTCCAGGAGCTGGGAGACAGCACTGGCCCACTGGGGCTGGTTTCTATTACTTGTGCCCATCAGACAGTCAGTTCTAGCAGCATCCGATAACAGCCATTTGAGATTAAATTCTGAGCACTTGAGTAATATAAAGCTAGCGAGGAGTCAGTCTCAGCAGTCAGTCGAGTGGTCTAGGCTGTCATCTTATTAGAGGAAGAGAGAAACTTTGATTTAACCAAAGACCCTTAATTTTCAAACGAGGAGGCAAATCAGTAACGTTTCCTGTCTCCCACTGGCTGTTAGCATTTCACAGAAACTTTGGCTTCTAAAATTCTCTCTGGCCCTTCTGTGTATGGACTTTTCTAGCAACTTCCTCTGCTGGGAAGATCCACACAAATCAACTAATGGAACCAGGGGTAGGGAAAAAATATGCATATTTAGGCATTGGAGGGAGAACGGGTAAGTGCTAAAGCGAATTCCCAAATATTTCTTCTATCTTGACATTTCTGGGGCAATGGTCCAGAGCCCTGGAGTGGGCCACCCTTTCTTGGGATGAGTGCATCGTATGGTCTTCATGTTGGTTCAGTTGTGGGGTCCCCTATACGAGTGGAACCCCATCCTTCACCTAGACGAGCTGCATTTTCCCAGGGTGAAATAATCCCCCATCCTCATCCAGTGCTAGGTAACATTAATAAAATATACTACAGCATAAAAATAAACTACTGTGTTGCTACAAGGAGGTGGGGCGGTCTAGTGGGCAGGTCATTGGACTGAGCGTCTGGAGATCTGGGTTCTGTTCTTACATTTGCTGCAGGAGCATGGCAAAATGGCTGCTGCTTCTCAGTGCTTCCATTTCCCGCTCTGTAAAATCAGGGTCCTCCCCCAACCACGTAAATCACTTTGAGACGCACAGATGATATAAACAGCGTAAAAGTGAAGTAGTATTTATCTTTAAATTACCCAAAGGAACCCACTGCATTAAAATGATTAGGAATGGGTCTGGAAAATAGAAACCTGGCTCCCCTCATCTTCCACCCCTCCCTCTGCATGCAACCCCCCAAAAACACACATACCAATTTCTAGAACCAAGCCTGAATCATTCTTCTGGGTTCTCATTGTTGTCATCATCCAGAACTAGGAATGGAACTGAGAGCACCTGTCCCCAGGGTATTTCCAGTCAGGACAGCAAGGACTGGAAATCCCGCTGGACAAACTGTTCTCATGAGATTTACAGCCCGGTCATTCCCAATAGATAAGCATCTGGGTGCTGATTGGAACCAAAGTCACGGTATTTTGGTGTCTGTGTAAGAGTGACCCAGAAGTAAAAAAACTCAGAGGCAGTCAGGAAGGTCTTTTCTTCAAGGGACAAAGGGTGTAACAAGAAAGGAAAATAATAATAAACCCAGGCGGAAAAGGAATAGGAAGTTGAACCCCGACATTGGCTGCACAGCTCTTCCCCTGGGCACTTTTGAAAGGCACTAGAATTAACCCCATGTTCACCAGCATCAAGTAGTGCCCCTGTTCCAGTATCTCCATCCCTGTGAATTCTGTGTTGTATTAAATAGCTAAGGGACACCACTCCCATTCAAAATGCTAACTGAACGAATCCTTCCCTGTCTATTTTAATTTAATTACAAGATTAAATACCTCATTGCCTTGTACCTCATGAGAACATAAGAACAGCCATACTGGGTCAGACCAAAGGTCCATCTAGCCCAGTATCCTGTCTTCTGACAATAGCCAATGCCAGGTGTTTCAGAGGGAATGAACAGAACAGGTAATCATCAAGTGATCCATCCCCTGTCGCCCATTCCCAGCTTCTGGCAAACAGAGGCTAGGGACACCATCCTGCCCATCCCGGCTAATAGCCATTGATGAACCTATCCTCCATGAATTTATCTAGTTCTTTTTTAAACCCTGTTACGGTCCTGGCCTTCACAACATCCTCTGGCAAGGAGGTCCACAAGTTGACTGTGAGTTATGTGAAGAAATACTTTATTTTGTTTTTAAATCTGCTGCCTATTAATTTCATTTGGTGACCCCTAGTTCTTGTGTTATGAGGAGTATATAACACATCCTTATTTACTTTCTCTTTCTCTGTTCTGTACAGCATGAAGTAAAGGCTTCTTCTGATCAGAAACAATTGTTTTTTACAGAAAAGAAATAGGATGAAGTTCTTTTCCCCCCAATGGAATCCACTTTTGCTTTAATTACTAAGTACAGCAGGCCGGACAGGAAACGTTGAGTGTGAAAATCTGCCATATGCTCCTTATTTTCTTTGCTAGTTCCCATTTCCAAGCTGAGGACAGAGTCCATGTACCCTCTGAGGCAGGTTTTAAAAATAACCCCCTGAGTTCTCTCTGCTCTGGATGTCATTTTCCACACTTCTGAACTGAAAGGACAGTCAACTAAGATGTGTGAATTAGATTCCGGTGTCTACATACTGGAGCTCCTAGAACATTGGCTTTTATTCCAATTCCCCCTCCCTATATCCTCCCCTCACTGTAATCCTCCAAGAGGTGCACTGCATAAAAATCTCACCTCCTTGGAAGCTATTCTTCTCTTATTTATTCCCTTCATTTTCATAGCCAGCTTCCCTGTGAGGCACCTGAGCTATGTGTGTCTGCATTCTCATATACTCCTCTCCCCTGTAATAAATGACCTAGATACCTCTTTCTTCCTGAACAAAGAGGTAAACAATTCCCTCTCAAACAATGCTTTGCTGCTGCTATTGCATATTGAGTAGCACTGGCTGGACCGTGCGTTACAAAAAAATATTCATTGTAGGGCTAGATTATTTATTTACGGTATTAACATGGCCCCCACTGCTGTAATATAGGAGCCCCTCATAATCTTGATTGTATTAATTCTCACAGCACCCCTGTGAAGTAGGGCAGTGCCGGTATCCTCTTGGGGGGAACTGAAGCACAGAGAGACTAAAGCCTGGTCTACATATAGCTCCTGTACCCCTATAACTATCTCAGTTAGGGGCGTGACAATTTTACCGAGATAGTGATATCAGCACAGCCCCTAGAGTGGATGCAGTTATGATGGTATAAAAACACCTTGTACTGGTTTGGTGTCATTGTTCCAGCTGCTCAGCGCGTGGTACACCAAATCTCTCTGGTACAAGTAGAGCGCCAGGTATACCACATCTCAGAGCAAGTGCTTGAAGGCTCATTAGATGCTAGGCCCCACATACTTTAGCCCTGGTAGGTCCCAGTAATGACTCAGATGCTTGGTGAAGGGAAGGGACATTTTACTAGGGCAGGCAAAGGGGAAGGTTGCAAATAGCTGGGTTTCATTAAAGGTAAACAGTAGCAGTTCCTGTTTGGGCCCCTGAGGGATCAGGCT